CCAGCTTACTGTGACACCTTTTTCTTGTTTCTAGTTCTGCACTGATTGTGCTTTAGATGGAAGATCAGTTTCAGCTTCCCTACATATCAGTTGAAAGCTTTCAGAACAATATAAAATGCTATTAAGTCATAAATATCGACTAATTCCAGAGCATTTCAAAACTACCTTATTTCCACTTCATGATAAAATTTTCAAGAATTTGAAATATGAGAAGCTGGATTTGGATTGGGGCAACCCCAGATATGTCACAGATCGTTTGAGTTGGAAGGAACCTTTAAAGGCCACCTGGTCCAAGTCTCCTGCAGTGAACAGGGACAGCTACAGATCCATCAGGTGCTCACAGTCCTGTCCAGCCTGACCTTGGCTGTCTGCAGGGACAGGGCAGCCACCACCTCTCTGGGCAATCCATTTCAGTGCTTCACTACCCTTACTGAAAGATTAAAAAAAAAAAATCTTCCTTATATCCAGGCTATATCTCCTCTCTCTTAGTTTGAAATTATTTCTCCTTGTCCTATCACAACAGACCCTGCCTGTCCCCTTCTTTCCTGTAGCTCCCCTTCACACACTGACAGGCTGCTCTCAGGTTACCCACCAGCCTTCTCTTCTCCATGCTGCACAGCCCCAGCTCTCTCAGCCTCTCCTCATAGGAGAGCTGTTCCATCCCTGGGATCATTCTTGTAGCCCTCCTCTGGATTCACTCCAACAACTTCATGTCTCTCCTGTACTGAGGACTCCCAGCACTGCAGCTGAGGTCACACAGCACAAAGCAGAGGGGCAGGATCCCCTCCCTGACCCTACTGGCCACACTGCTTTTGGTGCAGTCCAGGATACAGTTTGCTTTCTGAGCTGCAAGGGCACAGTGCTGCCTCATGGCCAGCTGTCATCCACCTGTACCTCCATGTTTTTTTCATCTACAGAGAACTCACTGAGAGCAGTCCTGAGAAGGACTTGGCGGTTCTGATGGATGAAAAGCAGGACATGAGCCAGCAGTGTGCTTCTGCAGCTTGGAAGGCCGGGGCTGCATCAACAGAGGGGTGCCAGTAGAGACAGGGAGGTGACTGTCCGCCTCTATTCTACCCTTGCGAGACTGCAGCTGGAATACTGTGCCCAGGCCTGCACTGGAAGGATGCAGAGCTGTTGGAGCAGGTTGAGAGGTGGGCCATGAAGATGATCGAAGGGCTGGAGCACCTCTCCTATAAGGACAGATTGATGGAGTTGGGCTTGTTCAGCTTGGACAAGAGAAGGCTCTGGGAAGACCTCATTAAGGCCTTCCAGTAGCTGAGGGGAGCCTACAAGCAGGATGAGGACTGATGTTTTGCACAGTCCACTATCAATAGGACAAAGGGGAATGGCCTTAAACTAATTCAGATTAGATATAAAGAGGAAATTCTTCATTCAGATGGCAGCGATACCCTGGCATTGCTGCCCAGAGGCAGCATGGGCCCAGATGGGCCCTGGGTAGCCTGAGCTGATGGAGGGCACCCAGCCCATGGCAGCAGGGTGTGTAAGATCCCTTCCAACCCAACCACACTATGACTCTACGAATTTACATTCAAGGAAACATTAAAAAAAAGAGGTTTGTACGTAGTTAACATACGTCTGAGCAGGGCTCTGGCTCCTCTTCTGTGAGCTCGCAGCTGCCATGTCACCAGCCGAGCACCTGCAGGAAGGCATTATGAATCAGGTGAAATCGATTTTAGTTACAGCTTTCAGTTAACAAAGGAAGAGAAGTTGGGAACTGGCAATAACGATTAATAAAAGCTGTTTTCAGACAGGGCAGGGATCGGAATAATGTTTTAACTGAGAGTAAATAACAGCACAGAGAAGATTTCTGCTTCAAGTCCTAACCAGACCCTTCCAATACCCAAAGAAGGGCGATAAGAAAGAAGGGAACAGACCCTCAGCCCCTCTCAGGACGACTCCAGACCCCTTAGGCCCCGCACACGCCGGCCGCACTACCCCTCACCTCAGCGCCGCCTCCATCACGGCCACCAACGGTCCCGCGCCTTCCAACCCGCGCGCGTTCACCCGCCAGGCCGCCCATCCGCTTCTCATTGGCCGAGAGCCTTGCCGCTCAGCACACCTCGCAGGGCCATTGGTCTGACTGCGGCCCGCCACTCACATTTCAGCCAATTAGATGGTTGTCCCCCCCCCCGGCGGAAACTCCAACTCCCAGCCTGCCTCGCGAGAACAGAGCCGCCTCTGGGAGGGGGGCGGTGCGCGAGGCACGCTAGGAAATGTAGTTCTTAATGCACGCTGAGACTCGGAAGCTTGGGAAGCGCTTTGCCCAAGCAGTGCCGCGCCCTGCCACAGATCTCGTATCTCGGAGTTCGACTTAGGCGTTCAATCTAGAGGAATTTACAAGGATTTAAGTAGCGAGAGCTGACAGGACCGGACTGTGGAGAGTGATGCAGTGGTGCACACACTCAAGAAATATAAAGCAAAACAAAACGCTCCGGTCCGAGCCCCGAGTCCGCCTCCCCTCAGATCGGGAGAAAACGCAACCGCGAACGAACACCCGGTACAGAGCGGTGGGGAAGGTCTGCGCATGCGTGAAACGACGTACAAGCACTGCTGCGGCGATGAGCGTAGGCCCAAATTATCTTGCCCAATCACGTCTTAGCATCTACACATGCGCATAACGCCCCTCCTTTCACATCCGGGAGACTCGGCGCATGTTTATGACGTATGACGCACGCGCGGCTCCTGGTGTGCATGCGCACTGCTCCCTTCCGGCCTCCGTAGCCAGGAGCGGGCAGCGGTACTGTGAGGAGCCCGGGCGGGTCTGGGTGGGCCGCGCCGCCGCTATGGTGTTCTACTTCACCTCCAGCGGTGAGTCTGCGGTGGGGGGTTGTGTGGTTTCAGGCCTCTCCTTGCGGGTCACTGTGGGAATGGCGCGTTCCCTGCACGGCGGTGGGGCTCCTTGACCTTCTTCACTGTGGTGTTCCCCGTGGAGGCCTCAGCGTGTGGCGTTTCCTCCTCATATCGCACCGAAGTTTCCCCTCCTAAGTACTGAAATGCTTGGGTTTTTTAAACACCGAAAGGATCTTTTTTTGTGTGTGCCCCAGATCCTCTCAGCAACGTATAACCACAGTGTGTTGTCCGTGTGTGGATTTTACTGCATCCCTATAAGTTTACAGGCTTGGGGCAGAGTGGCTGGAAGACTGTGTAGAGGAAATGGACCTGGGGGTATTGATTGATGCTCGGCTGAACGTGAGCCAGCGGTGTGCCCAGGAAAGCCAATGGCATCCTTGCCTGCATCAGAAAAGGTGCTGCCAGCAGGAACAGGGCAGTGATTGTTCTCCTGTACTCAGCTCTGGTGAGGCCGCAGCTGGAATAATGTGTCCAGTTCTGGGCCCCTCACTGCAAGCAAGACATTGAGGCCTTGGAGCAGGTTCAGAGAGGGGTGACAAGACTGGTGAGAGGTCTGGAGCACAGGCCTTATGAGGAGCAGCTGAAGGAGCTGGGATTGTTCAGTCTGGAGAAGAGGAGGCTCAGGGGAGACCTCACTGCTCTCTATAACTACCTGAAGGGAGGTCGTAGTGAGCTGGGGGTCGGCTTCTTCTCTCGTGTGACTAGTGATAGAACTAGAGGGAATGGCTTCAAGCTGCCAAACCAGGGGAGATTTAGGCTGGACGTTAGGAAATACTTCTCTGAAAGAGTGGTCAGGCACTGGAATGGGCTGCCCAGGCAGGTGGTGAAGTCACCAACCCTGGAGGTGTTCAAGGAAAGGCTGGATTTTGTGTTGAGGGACATGGTTTAGTGAGAACTGCTGGTGACAGGTGGATGGTTGGACTGGATTATCTTGTAGGTCTTTTCCAACCTTGGGGTTTCTGTGATTCTTATTCTGTGATTCTGTTCTTATAGCATTATCTGCCTCAGTTCTGGAGGTGAACTTCCTGCTAGAGAAGCTCAGGAATGCCATTTCCCTTAGGCAATGCTCAGCAGTGCTTCCAGCAGCCCTCCCATCAATCTGCTCCAAGGATCCCATTAGTAGGGCAAGAGATTGTAGCCCCAGATGTAACCTGGAGAGGCTCAGGTTAGATATGAGGAAAAAAATCTTCTCAGAAAGCGTAGTGATGCAGTGGCACAGCTGCCCAGGGAGGTGGTGGGGTCTACATCCCTGGAGGTGTTCCAGAACCATGGCAGTGTGGCACTAGGGGACATGGTTTAATGGGCAGGGGGCACAGCAGCGTTGGATGGCACTGGGAATGGCTGAGCTGCCATAGTGCATCACAGTTAAACCTGCTGATGGTGTAAACCATCTCGTGTAGTAAGTTGAAGATTTCTGATGTGGTTTAGTCATAGAAGAGGACACAGTGAGAATGCCACTGTAGCTTGTTTAAGCTGCGTTGCACTATTGTTGATGTGTACACTGCTACAGTGTTCTGTGTTCTGTGCCCACACAGCTCAGAAAGCCAACTGCACCAAAAGCAGCTTGGCCAGCAGGGTCATGGAAGGGATCCTCCCCTTCTGCTTTGTGCTGTGTGACCTCAGCTGCAGTGCTGGGAGTCCTCAGTACAGGAGAGACATGAAGTTGTTGGAGTGAATCCAGAGGAGGGCTACAAGGGTGATCCCAGGGATGGAACAGCTCTCCTCTGAGGAGAGGCTGAGAGAGCTGGGGCTGTGCAGCATGGAGAAGAGAAGGCTGGTGGGTAACCTGAGAGCAGCCTGTCAGTGTGTGAAGGGGAGCTACAGGAAAGAAGGGGACAGACTCTTTGGCAGGGTCTGTTGTGATAGGACAAGGAGAAATAATTTCAAACTAAGAGAGAGGAGATATAGCCTGGATATAAGGAAAATTGTTTTTTTTTTTTATCTTTCAGTAAGGGTAGTGAAGCACTGAAATGGGTTGCCCAGAGAGGTGGTGGATGCCTCATTCTCGAAGACACACGTGGTCAGGCTGGACAGGGCTCTGAACACCCTACTGAGCTGTGAATGCCCCATTTCATTGCAGAAGGGTTGGATGAGATGTCCTTTAAAGGTCACTTCCAATTCAATCGATTCTATGTTTCTAAATGATATGGGCTGGAAGCATTGACCTGCTAAGGTTAAGGTAGTGCTCTCCCACTCTTTTCAGCATGGGCTTCATTTTCATGAAATCATATCTGAGCATATAATTTTATGTTTCTGTGCAGTGTCTCTGTTCATGATGATCTCTCATTCTCTGCACTCCTCTTCCTGTGTGTTCAAGGTAGATTTTTTTTTTTTTTCAATCTTTAACTCTCACCAATACGGAAATGCAAATATATGAAATGATTCTATTTCCTGTTGCCTTATTGCCAAACGTTATGTAAATAGCAATAGGTTTCTTTCGAAAGGCATTGCAATGGCATGAAGCTGACAGTCTGCTCTCAGCAGTCCTTTGTGTTGAAGTAGGTCCTTATTGGTGAAAGCCAAATTTCAGTGCAGAAGCTAGAACTGTGACACTGGTAGACAGGTTTCACTCACCATGGAATTGGGATTTCCCTGCTGCCATATACAATGCCAGAGCGTTTTTGGAGCAGGCTGCAGCAGGACTTCCTTGGCTGTGGCACCCTCTTACTGCAGCCTCCATCTCTCTGCTGTGCTGGCTGTCCATCCAGGTTTGCCAGAACTGAAAATGGCTTTCCTGCATTATGGAATGAACCCTGAAGAAGAGAACATCGTTGCTCAAAGTGCCCTGAAGGGATGCAGATAGGACAAAACGAGTCTGGCTGATGTTTGGCTAGCTGCAGGCTTTCAGCTGTCTTGCAGATCTTAATCCTCTCAGCTTCCCCAGGGAATTGAGCGTTGTGCTGCTGCTTTGGGGAAGTGAGTTTGTTTTGCTTGACCACACAGAGAGTTAACAGCAGACTGTAAACACAGCGTTGGCATTCCTGGCTCAGAGCCTGCGTGCTTAATTGGACAGATTGTATCTGTGTAATTAGATAATCCAAACCACATGGATGCTGAGGGTGTTTTGCCCCGACAGCTGTTCTATGTTGGATAATCTTCAGTGGAAACTGCTGGAAAGAGCCCCCAAAGTTCTCTGAAGCGTGTGGGATGAGGTCTGGAGGAGCTGCAAAACAGTCATGCAGCCCAGAGGAGGGAAGTGGGATGCATGAAACAATTTTCAGTGTAATTTCTTTTCCCAGGGCCAATGCATGGCTCAGTCCTCGCACGGTTTGTCCAAAGCCCTTTTGATTTATTTTCCTCTTTCTGTTCCTCAGTTGTTCCCACCGTTTACACCATTTACATGGGAAAAGACAAGTATGAAAGTAAGTATGCTGGAAGTAAGTATGCTGATGGGTGAGGCAGCTTGCCTGGGGTTAGGCCTGTGGGTGCCCAAGGTTATTTTGAAAGGATGTCTCTTCATTTGTTAATTTGATGTGCTTGAAACCGTGCAAATCATTCCGAGTTACTCCTCTGAAATCCACTGTGCTGCTTTTAGCTTGGATGGATGAACTTTAGATACAATGACTGGCTTCAAAACAACTGAAAACTAAACTAGCTGAAAAAATGAGCCGAGGCAGCAGCCTTTTCAGATCGTGTCTGATGACATCCTTCAAGTCAGCCTCCCCCTTCCCTGCTCCCTCTGTTATTCCTCTCCCCACTGAACATTGGTGGCCCAGAGGATCCCTGTGCCTGTCCTTCCCCTCAAGGTGAAGGTTCTGCTTCTGCTGCATCTCCTTTTTCCACATCAGGAGGCAATGTGAAGCCATGGTGCACACCATGCAAAGTGCTTGGCTGTCTCTTTGCCTGAAAGTCTCCTTTTTAGGCTGATATTTGGAGAAACAAATGTTCTCATAAAACTGTCCACATGTGACAGGAGGAGAGAAAGGCATGGAAACTGGGGATCCTCAGTCTCACTTCTCACACACACTGTGTGTTCTCAGCATACTGGTTCCTGGCATAGCTGCATGCAGCTGGGTGCACTAAACCCTCTCTGCCTCTGCTTGATCCCCATACTCTGGCTGATCAACAGAGGTCGATTTCTGTTCTGGTCAGATCAGCAATCACAGCAGGCAGTGTGATTGGAGGTCCTGTGCTTTGCTCAATGCCATTTTTCTTCTTGCAGATGAAGATCTAATAAAGTATGGCTGGCCTGAAGATATCTGGTAAGTCCTGCAGCTCTGTGCACACCTTCATAAAGCACACTGCCTCTCTTGGTGCTGCTGCAATTCAAATCCCAGCCCTTGTGCTGCCACAGGCACTGCAAAGTCCGCTTTCTCCCAAACCACTGAGCAGCTTAAATGCATTCCCAAGGTGGAGATGGATTTCAGCAGCTCCAGGTGCAGGTGCTCAGATGCTGTTTTGAATTCATTTTCCTACATCTCCCCTGCTTTGTCCATTGGAAGGATTTGACTCCTGGGGTGTGGTTTCTGGGGATTTGGGGAATGCAGCCAGAAGCCTCCTGAGCCACAGTGAATGCTGTGCCTACAGAATGTTATCTTCTTCCCAAGTATCTTTTCCTCTGCATGTGCTTAGTGTCACCCCTGTGTACACTGTGGATTTCTGCTGTCCTGTCCTGTACAGCAGCCGTGGAGTTTGGGTCTGTGAGCAGGAGACTTTGACTTTTTTTATTCCCCTCAACTAAAAGCTGTGTCAGCTTTCAGCACACCCACAGGGCTGCGGTCAGGCTGGTGAGAGGAAGCACTCCATCTAGCCTGGGTTGGTTTTGGCTCACAAGATCTCATCAGAAGAGAAAAGCAAGATCAGGGGAGTTCCCACTCTTGGCAGCAGCAGTGGGTGGCATCTCTGCTGGCTGATTCAGGCTCCTGCTTGTGCCTGCCCCCCTGTACTGACAGCATGGTAGCCGACAAGCTCTGTATGTTGTCAGCAGCAAACTGAGTGGTAAAAAAGATTTTACTTTGGTTGAGTAACACGTTGGTGTAGCAGCATCACATGATGTGAAGTCAGGAGAGACGTGGATCTGTTGGAGCATGTCCAGAGCAGGGCCACAACAGTTATCCAGGGGAAGGAACATCTCACCTGTGAGATGGACAGACTAAAAGGCTCTCTCAGGATCTAAAGGGGGGGTCTAAGAGAAAAATATGTGGTTGTGATAAAAGCACTCAAATGGATCTATCTTGTTTGCACACGTGCATCCTGAACGTTTTTGTAGACTTGTCCATGGAGAAGCTGCTCTATCAATAGGAAGTAATCTTTTTTCAGAACAGATGATTGCCATCTCTTACCTCCTGCTAAACATGTGATTTTTTTTTTTTTTTATTCTGTAGGTTTCATGTGGATAAGCTCTCTTCTGCACATGTATATCTTCGGTTGCACAAGGTAAACCTGTGATGTGTCTTTACAAAAGCCCTAAATGGCATTCACCTGCATAGAATTATGCAGTCCCAGCCTGCAGCGGGCCCTGTGGATGGGACCAGCTGAACTCACATGAACACTGAAGTTCACAGGCTCCTGAAGGGTACAGAGTCATAGAACAGTCTGGGTTGGAAGGGACCTCAAGGATCCCAACTTCAATCCCATGAAGCTCCAACCCCCTGCCACATGCAGGGCCACCAACCTCCCCATTTCATAGCAGCCCAGGCTGCCCAGAGCCCCATCCAACCTGGCCTTGAACACCTCCAGGGATGGATGGGGCATCACAGCCTCTCTGGGCAGCTGTTCCAGCACCTCACCACTCTCTCTGTAAAGAGCTTCCCCTGACATCCAACCTGAATCCTCCCTCCCTCAACTTCAAACCATTTCCCCTTGTCCTGCTGTTATCTGCCCTTTCAAAGAGTTGACTCCCCTCCTGTTTGTAGGCTCCCTTTAGGTACTGAAAGGCTACAATGTAGTCACCCCACAGCCTTCTGCTGATATCCACCTCTGTGAGGAGGCTGAATTACAGCTTCCATCACCAAATAATGGTGGAAGGAGAGGGAAGCTTCATGTGGCCCAGCAGAACAAATGGTTTCTGACCTGGCATTGAGCATGTGTCTGAGGGAGAAAACCAGAGTGCACATCACTTGTTTCTCTCCTTACAAATGCTGTGAGAGATCTAGTAAAATGTCAAGAGGAGAAGGTGTCGAGAGTGTTTGCAGGGCATCGTGTCCTGCTCCTGGCTGTGGTGTGCTCTTTTGTGTGCTCCTCAGTCCCTACAGCCCCTTCTCACTTGCATGGCTGATGCTGTGTGCTCTGTCACAGGGGCAGACAGTGGATGACATTCCTAAAGAAGTTCTGATAGACTGTGCCCACCTGGTGAAGGCTAACAGCATCCAAGGTGGGTCTGTTTCCCATTGGGGCTGGGTGCAAGGTGTTTGTTGTGGGTGTTTCTGCTCCACACGAGCATGTGTGTGAACAAACATCTGTGAAAGCTGCTGCTCTGTTCTCTGTTAAGTCGATGCCTGCTGGTCTTATGGGAAGCAGATGTCACTTACAGCTGCCGAGGCTGCTTGTTAGGCTTTCAGAAGGAGGAGTTTTAAATCTCTGAAATTCCTGTTTGTGCCTCCATGCTGCTGCCTGAGCCAGAGAGTCCTTGCAGGCTCTTCCCTCACACCACCTTGGGGCCCCCTTCCATAGCAGTCGCTCTTCTGGCAAAGACAGCCTCCATCTGGAGTTGGTTAGCACTGCTTGCAGCGCTCGTGTTACTGCAGAAATTGATGTTGTGGTGGTTTTTGTTTCACTGTAACACTGGAAGGAGTTCTCCTTTTTCTTCTTTCTTGCCTCGTTAGTAATGCTGGTGACAAGAATAACTGTCGGAGTTTGCGTTTGCACAGAAGTCTTTCAGCTGGGAGAGAATAAAAATGTTTCCATCCTTTCACCTCTGCTCCCCAGGTTGCAAGATGAACAACGTTAACGTGGTGTACACACCATGGACCAACCTGAAGAAGACTGCAGACATGGATGTGGGGCAGATTGGGTTTCATAGGCAGAAGGATGTAAGTATTTGCTGCAAGCCAGCAAGGGTCACCTGGTGACACATCATCACATTTCCAGTTAGCAGCTGGATGGGTTATCTTCAGCATTTACCCTAAAGGAAGGGAATCATCTAATTCCTGAAGCTTGAGAGAGATCCTTGGGGCATGTTTAGGCTTACCTTGCCATCAGCTGGGAATGCATGCTCGGTGTTAGCCTGTGGCAGAGTGTAGCCTGGATGGGATGCTTGCAAAAAGCAGTGTGGTGTAGCTGATCGGTCTCTGCTAAACCTGAATGCTATCACATGTCTGTTCTGTTGGCTCAAATTCATCTGCACTGCAATCATCTCTGTACGAGCAGTCAGTTTGGATCAGCTTACAAACACCAATGTGATCAGATGGCTGGAAGGGCTCAGATGAGCTTGCTGTGCAGTGGAGAACTCAGGGGCATCTCTGAGACCTCCATTACTGTGATGACTTTGCTGTCTCTGCTTTGGGCCATGTTTCACCGCAGTGCTACTCTGAATTTGTTAAACCTGTTATAAGGCAGAGCTGCTTAGCTTTGTTGTGGGGTCAGTCCAGCACGCTGAGCTGTTCCCAGGCCTGAGCTGTGTCCCCAGGTGATGTTAAGCATGAACTGTGGTTATGCAGCTTGGCTGCTGGGATAGAAAGCTCTCTAGAGATGCAGTTGTTTGACTAAAACAGGTCCATACCAGGGCAGGAAATGCAGAAAACACTGAAAACTACAGAATTAGCAACATGTGAGTTTCCCTTCCACAAATGGTTGGTGGAGGCCTGCTGACACCTCCTCAGGAATCAGCAGGAACAGGGTTGGTTTTTTTTTGGTTTTTTTTTTTTTTTTTTTTTTTTTTGGCTTCTTTGTTAAGGCATATGCTAAGAAAACAAATTAGAACACGCTTATGTACTCAGCAGTACTTGTGCTTGTTAGTCGTGGGCCTTTGGTGCTGTTACACAACAGGCTGAATAGGACAAGGTGGCTGTGATTTCCCTTTGCATCTGTTTTTGTGGGATTCAGCCACTTGTAAAGTAGAAATAGGGCATTTTCTTTCCATAGACAAAGTGCCAAAATAAAAGTATTTTTTTTATAAGGATCATAGTTCTTTGCACTCCAAAGGTGAAAATGCTGACAGTGGAGAAGAAGGTGAACGAGATACTGAACCGATTAGAGAAGACAAAAGTGGAACGTTTCCCAGACCTGGCTGCTGAAAAGGAGGCCCGTGACAGAGAGGAGAGGAATGAGAAGAAAGCCCAAATCCAGGAGATGAAGCGGAAGGAAAAGGAAGAGATGAAGAAGAAGAAAGAGCTGGAAGAACTTAGGTAAGTCATAAATTGCAGTGCCAGTGTTGAGCTTCTGTGGTTTTCATCAGCGCGAGGGGAGAGTCATGGGTCAGCAATTTCTGTGTAATGGTTGGCGCCGCATTACTCAGTGCTCAGCTGACCTGCTCTTGTATAGATGTCTGCATGGCCCAATGGTTCCCTTTGTCTTTACAATAAATGCATTTCCCCCTTTTTTTTTTTTCTTAAAATAAACCTGGATGTTAAACCATTGTGAAAAGAAAGGACGGTGTCTTTTGAAATCTATCCCTGACTTGGGAGAAATTGGGGGAGCCACTTGTCTCTGTGGGATGGGAGCAATCTATTGGGTTCCAGCTTTCAGCTTTGTCTAAGTCTTGGAAAGCACTGAGCCACAGGCAGACTTCTTCAGCTTCCTGTTGCATCACCGTTGTTACTGAAATGTGTGATTCCTCAGTTTTCCTCCATAGGCAATTGCATGCTCCTTTGAACACTGAAAGGAATGGTGCTTTAAAATGTCATATTGACCTTTCTGTCACTCAGCTACCAAACCTGCAGCAGCATGGGGGAGCTCATTCCTCCTTCCTGCCTGCCCCATGCAGACCTGGACGTGCCAGCTGGCCAAAGGCTTACTTTAAAGCACAAGATACTTTATTGTAGCAAGTTGTATTTATATGTGAATGATAGGGAGACTGGAATTGGAAAAACTCAAGGTCTCAACACGTGGAAAGGTCATAACGAGGGCTTTGGAAAAACAAACTCAGCACCAGGAGGCATATCTGTGCTGCTGAGAAAAGGCTCTGCCTTCCTGATAAGCCTTGCTCCAGAGTTGTCCCTTCATCCCCCAGAATGAAGGATTTTCTGCCTCGTGGTGCTGTCTAGCTGGTAGCTTCTGAACAAAGCTGCAGAGGCTGTGGAGATGAGTCTGCATAGCACCTGTGCTTTCTTCAGTTGTTTTAAATAGCTAAAGAGTGTAAGATAACTAGAAACTAGATCATGGAATCATAGAATGGCCTGGGTTGCAAAGGCCCACAGTGCTCATCCAGTTCCAACCCCTGCTGTGTGCAGGTCACCAACCAGCAGCCCAGGCTGCCCAGAGCCACATCCAGCCTGGCCTTGAATGCCTGCAGGGATGAGGCATCCACAACCTCCCTGGCATCACCCTGAGTTCAGAAAGGAATTGTTTTTTTTTTTTTTGGTACTTGATCCTATTTTATCAAAATGCCTCTCTGTGTTGGTGGTTTTTGAAAACATATCTTGTAAGATGATGTCATTTCCCTTTCAGGAGTTACTCATCGTTAATGAAGGCTGAGAATATGTCCTCCAATCAGGTGAGAGCTGAGTGATGCCCACAGAAACTGTTCAGAGGCAGCTGAAATTCAGTGCAGGATTGTGACAGTCCAGCTCCGCGTTGCAGTATGGTTTTAGTGACTCCTACATGACAGTGCACATCTCCTTTGCCCCTTCTCATTGAAGGACAGTGCCACTTTCTTTGGCTTTCAGAGAAGGCCCTAATGCTTGGATGTCTACCAGGTGGAGCCTGTGCTGCTGGTGATGTGTACAGAGCCCTCCCAGTGCATTTCCACTTGAGTGAAGGAGCAGGGAGAGCTATAAGTGGGGTTCCAGGCTTGACTGTCCTTGCTTGGGAGCAGAAAGGTCATCCTGAGGGTGGCAGAGATTATTTTCACCTACCATCTTTTTTTTTCAAGGGAAGGAGAAAATGCACGGTGTATCTATGAAGGATGATAGTACAGGCAGGGATGAATATAGGTTCTGAGGGGCAGAGAGGAAGCTTGAAGTGATTTGCTTACAGGGAAGTAAACAACTGGGAGGAGCACAGCAGGGAAGTGAGGAGGTGGGTCACAGCAGGGCTTGGGGCTGAAGTGGAGAAGAGGTTCCAATGTGCACTGGGTGCGTCTGTGCTTTGCCTGAGGACTGGCTTGTGTACAGCTTCCCCTTGGTGAAGTGTTGGGCAAGGAGATGTTGGAGCTCATCTCAGTGACCCTCAGTTGAAAATGTGCCTTTTGTAAACTGTTAAAAGGAGTTTGTGGTTTTCATGAGCTCTTCATTTTCCTCCTGGCCAGCGTGCACATCCCCTCTGAGAATTAAGTGTTGAAATGTGAGTGCCTCCTGACGCACTGCTAGGGAGAGGAGTGATGGAAATGCAGCAGTAGGGGTGTTCCTGCTCTCAGCTTCTGAGCCCTGCTTGGTGCCAGGCTGCTTTCCTTCTGCTGGGTCATGACATGAGATGGCCCATGAGGCTGCTCGTGAAAGCCCCATCTCTGGTTCCTCCCACATCACAACAGATGGGCTGCAGCTTCAGGGACAGCAAAGAGCAGCGGGTATTTCACAATGCAGAGCTTCTCTGGGTTCTGTTCCCATTCCAGAGGATTCTAGGATGTTTTTACTGGGATGGCAGGAGGCCAGAATAAATGGCAATGGTGAAATCCTGCTGAATACACCATTTCACCATTTTCCACTTTGCAGTGGTCCTAATGTGTGTTTCTTCCCACAGGATGGCAACGATTCCGATGACTTTATGTGAATAAAGTCGCTCTCCTTTCTCAATCCAAGGTGGTTTGGGATGTCTTAATGTCACCGTTGCTAAGAATGCCAAAAAATCAAACCAAATAAGTGAACTCTGACTCCATTTCTTCAGAAGCTGGTAGATTCTCCTGGTGTCCCGACCAACCCTGAGCCACGGACAACTTCTGGATGGAGAAGATCTCTTTGTCTGCACATACATCTCTTTTTTTCAGGGACGTAGGTGTAAGGAAGCAAAATTGAATTTCAGTTCTACAAAGACAATGCTATTTATTCTAGGAAGGGAGTTGCTGTAGCTTTTAATTGAATGAGATTGAAAGAATTTGTGCTGTCTCACTGCTGTCCTGGCAGCTTCGTGCTCCTGAAAGAGATGCCATTAATTTGGCATCGCTGGTGAGCCCCAAAGCCACACTGCTGACTGCGCAGCTCTTATCCCTGTGGTGGTGAAAGGCAGCAAAGCAAGGAGAATTCCCCCAAAATGTGGGGTTTCCCACTTTGACAAGCTCACAGCTGCTTTGCAGACCCACCTGGCAGTAAGTGTGGCAGTTGGTTGCCACTTGTTAACCACAGAGCTGCAGCTGGTGAAGGCTTCCAGCTGATGGTGCAACCTACGTGAGCATGTCAGTGTGGGCTGTGATATGTGCCTTTCAGCACAGGATGAGAACAGCCCCAGGGTGTCATTCTTTTGAATTACACTTTATTTCTGGGCTGTTTCTTGGGAACCTTCTCTGCAGAGAAAAGCTGACAAAGAAGGGTTTTATGCAGCCTGTCCTGTTCAGAGCTCTCTGTAAGGTTTTGTGGAGAAGTCTGTACGAAGCTATCACGATAATTGTTGCAGCACATGTATATATGTTATGATTAAATTCATACCAGGCTGGTAAAACGTGCTGGTGGGTGAGGGGAGTGGGAGAGTGGAACTGTGGGTGGTGAATTTGCTTGAGGGGGTTTCTAGGGTGGGGGCTACGTATGCAGCCTTTCCCCCAGAGCTGGGCCGTGCCGCTTGGTGTTCTCCCCTCAGAACTGCTGCCTGACTTTCCCAAGCTGCTTGAGGGATGTTTTGTGTCCCTCCCAGCTCTGTTTATCTTTCCTTTCATTCCACACCAGGGTGAGAAGAAATGCTCTGCGGGCCTGCTGGCAGCAGCCAACAGAGCTCAGCTGCTCCTGGGCTGGGTCGCAGCCCCCGCTCCATCCCGCATCCCATCCCGTGATGGCTGTAGGAGGCGGATGTCTCCTCCCAGACAGCTCCACGCCTTGGAACAGTGCCTGGGCTTTGTGTTATAGGGCTATAAGAAGGTTGGTGGGGTCCCAGGGCATGGTTTTGGGATGTGCCTCCGGGTGCCTTTCAGCCTGGTTATGGCAGGAGCATCCTCCAGCTGTGTGTCTCTCCAGGACACATCCCAGCACAGGGCTGGGTTTGATGGGAAGAGCAGAAGGGAAGAGCCCTTGGACCCACACAGAGAGGAGTTTATTGTTACTGCAACTGAAATATTAACCAGAGAATTACAGTTAATCCAAATGGACTTAATACAGCAGGGGGGAAAAAAAAACACAAAAACACACCCTGCTACAAGTTCCAATGAATAACTGGGCCGGGCAGAGTGCGAGGAGCTGGGGGGGAGGTGGGTATTTGTCCCCCACCCTTCCCTGAGCGGCCGCCCTGCTGCTGCCATCAATGGGGTCATTCACAGGATGGGGGTGTTGGCCAGAGCTCGCCAGCAGTGCTGCAGCTGCCGACTGTTGTGCTTGGCACCAATGCCTGCCAACGGCTCTGGTGTCCTTGAGAGTTTGGGTAGGAGAGTGTCCCTGTGGGCATTGCTGCCTGTGGGCTGTGTGTCACTTGTCCTCTGTGTCAGGGTGATGCCCAGATGGGGAAGTGGAGGCACAGGGGTGGTCAGGGCCGTGGCTTTTTGTTGTTCGTGCCTGAAATGCTCAGGTGGGAAAAGAAGCTTTTTCCAAAAGATTTTGGGTTGCCTGTGTTAACCAGCAGCGTCGTGGCTCTGTAGCTCTGCAGCTGTTAATTCTGAGATGAAAACAGGAAGCCGCCGTGCCAACAGCAATAAACGGCCCTGGGGGCTGGGACCTGTGGCCCAGGCAGGGCTGGTGGGGAGGGTATGGGGCTCCCCGAGCTGTGGGCTGTGGAGGGTGGCAGGGGTGGGGATGGAATGCGGATGGGAGCAGTGATAGTAATGGTCTGGGATGGAAATGGGGGTGAGATCAGGAATGAGGATGAGGATGGAACGGGAATAGGAAACATAGGATGGGATGATGTGGGATGGAGGAAGGGATAAGGATGGGAATGGAGGTTGGAATGGGATGGGGATGGGTGTGGTATTGGGAATAGGGATGGGAAGGGGGTGGGATGGAGGTTGAGATGAGAACAGGAATGGGGACAGAGATAGAATGAGACGGAACAGAGATGGAGTGGGAACAGGGGTGGGCACAGGGATGGGAAGAGCTGTGGCCTGAACAAACCTCTGGAAAACAAAGTCAGAGGTGCTGTTGGCAAGGGCCTGTTTATCCCAGGAGCAGGCAGTGAAGCAGGGCTGTGTGTGCAGGTGTGCATTCTGGGGGCATGCTGCACTCCTACAGTGAGGCTGGGGAGAGCCCGAGGTGGGGCTGCGTGCAGGGCCAGCTGTTTTCCCCAGCTCCGTGTTGCTCTTGGCACCAAGGCCCCAGCTCGGGTACCTGGGGCCTCCAGCTGCCCCCTCCTTGCCCTCTGCCAGGGAAAAACAACCCACACCCTGCCTGCTGGCCTGGGACATGGGGACAGATTCCAGGGGCCCTGCTTTGGGGACAGGAGGGGTTCTCCATTAGTGACCATAAGTGCATGTACATCTGTGTGAGTCTGTGTCCCCTGCTTGGGGACAGCTCTGTGGGATGCTCCCATCTCACTCCACCATCTGTACCACGCCAATGCCCCCGGTTTGGATCTGGGCTCCTCCCCAGCCCTCCTGAACCCCCCCAACCCCATGTCCCAAAGGCAGGAACCACTGGTCCCCATACAAATTTATTGTGCCAGGATTACATTGCTGGTGCAGCCAGGGAAGGAGGGGTGAAGGTGGCTGGAAGTAGGGCACAAGCCAGCTGTGCCCCAGCCCATACAGGTCCTCGTCCTGCGGGGACCCCAAGCCCCAGGACTCTGCAGCCCACTCAAGAGCCAGGGACCAGCCCCGTGCACCCCAAAAAGCATCATGCTGGGGATATCTGGACCTCTTAGGGTCCTTCCTGCCCTGTCCCCAGGGGCTGGCAGCGGGAGCAGGGGATGCTCTCAGAGCTGGAAGGAGTTCCTCCATCCCAGTGCCATTAGCATGGCTCCAAGGTCTGCATCATGGGCCAGGAGGACCGGGGAGACCTGGCGGTCCTGGGGGGCCTCTCAAGCCGGGGTCTCCTTTGGGACCCATGGGGCCAATCTGTCCCACAGCCCCGGGGTTCCCGGGGAGCCCCAGTTTTCCTTGAGGACCAGGGGGTCCTGTTGGTCCTGGCCCCCCCTCTGGCCCCGGGGGACCCACATCTCCCTTAGGTCCCATCTGTCCCCTGGATCCAGACTGCCCAAAGCTGCCCTTAGCACCCTTGAGGCCGGGAAAACCCTTTGCACCCAGGGGACCCCTTTCCCCCTGGGGACCGGGGGGACCAGGAGGTCCGGGGGAGCCAGGAGGGCCTGGAGAGCCCAGACTGCCCACGTTGCCCTTCTCTCCTTTGCTTCCTGCGGGACCCTTGATGCCAACATCACCCTTGAGGCCGCGGGGACCTGGGAGGCCTGGCACACCTGCAGGAGGAAGAGGGAGGAATGAGTGTGATGCATGGGGTGTGGCTGTAACAGAGGGCCTGAGGACACTACCAGTGCTTCTTCCTGGAGTTACACTTTTGGAGCCAAAGGCAGCAAGGGGCAGCGCTCAAAAGGGCTGAATTTGGTGCTCTTGGTACTTGGTGGGATGCCCTGGACAGGACTGGGAACAGTGGGCCTGGGAATGCAGGTGGATGGATGTCCCCAGGCCACTGAAGTCCCCATGGGAAGCTTTAGGCATCCTTGTCCCGGTCTGTCTGTGCCCTCCCCACCAGGACCAGCAGTGGGGTCACCTGCACCAAGGGGAAAACTGCAGAGTGCTGAATCATAGAAATGTGGCACTTAGGGACATGGTTTGGTTTAGCGGACATGGTGGGGATGTGTTGGAGTTGGACTTGGGGATCTTAGAGATCTCCAGCTGGAATGAGTGCATGATTAGCACTGAAACAGGCTGCCCAGGGAGGTGGTGGAGTCTCCTTCTCTGGAGATGTTCAAGACCTGCCTGGATGCCGACCTGTGCGACCTGCTGTAGGGAACCTGCTTTGGCAGGGGGGTTGGACTCGATGAGCTCTGGAGGTCCCTTCCAACCCCTACAATTCTGTGATTCTGTGATTCTATGAGTGAGCATGGTGGTGATGGTTAACAGCTGGGCTTGATGATCCTGGAAGCATTTTCCAACCTTCATGACTCTATGATTCCAAGACTCAGCCTCCAAACCTGTTTTCCCCCATCAGGTACAGCCCCCAAACCCAACAGACCCAACCCCAACCCACGCTGAGATGCTCCTCACCTCGTAAGATGGTGATGTTCTTCAGCATCGCTCCATGCCGGACATCCACCACCTTCATCTCCTCCATCACCATGGACAGGTTGCGGATGTCGAAGTCAAGCCGGGCGCTGAGCAATCCAAAGCGCTCCCGCAGAAGGTCCGTGGTGCCCTGGACCAGGCTGAGGGACTTGTTCAGGTAGTAGAGCTCCTCAGCATGGGCATGGAAACCCAAGGTGCAGGAGAGGCGCACGTCATCCAGGTAGCGCAGCATGCTGTGCACGTGGCTGTCGGTGGCGTTGATGTTGGTGAAGATGGTGCCGATCTCGATCTCATGCGAGGCCATGCGGCCTTCCAGCGTCTCGAAGCGCTCAGCCGTGCGGTTCTGCGCATACTTGGCGTGGTAGCGCAGGTCGTTCATGTTCTCCTCGTGGTCATCCAGGAAGGAGGAGATGTTGTCCAGCTGCAGCTGCAGCCCCATCACCTGCAGCACCAGGTCGTGCATGCCCTCGGCGTTCTGGCCCACCTGCCGGGCTGCAGCACCCACGCCAGCCTGGATGCTCCTGACCAGCTCACCCGTCTCGGTGGAGGTGGCCCGCAGTCCTGCAAAGAGCCGCGTGTAGTTCTGCCACTCGGTGACCATCTTCTGCAGCGTCAACGTCTCCTCGTCCGTCTTCCTCTGGATGAGTTGGATCCAGTCCGAGGTTTGCCCCAAGGTGAAGTTGAGCTGCTGCATGGCGGCACGCACGTCAAAGCGCTCCTGTTCCAAGCCCTTGAGCGAGCCATCAAGCTGGGAGGTGATGGCCCGCCAGCCCCCCAGCTGGGCCACCAGTTGCCCCACGCTCTCGTTCAGCCGTCGGGTGGAGGAGGAGCAGTCTGCTACCTCACTGCTGATCTCGTTGCTGCTGGATGAGAGCGTGTCGTGGGTGCGGGAGGTGCGGTCGAGGAGGACTTCCTGAACCAAGAGCATCTTCTGGATCTCCTCCAGCTCACCCTGCAGCTTGCCGAGCTCCTGGCCCAGCTGCCCTGTCTCCAGGCAGAGGGAGCAATTGCCTGAGCTCTTCTCATCTGAAGGGAGGGCAAAGGGGTCCAGCACCGCACTGCCAACCATGGAACATCATAGCTCACCCCACTCCCCATCCCCACACCACCAACCATGGGAACCACACCAAAACCCAACCCATGCTCCCTCCCTGCATCGCCAACCATGGGAACAACCTCATAGCCCACCCCATACTCTGTCCCCACACAGCCAAACATGGGAGCCACCCCACAGCCCATGCACCATCCCCGCAGACCCCAGTGATGGACACTGCAGCCCCGTGGCTGGGGA